GCAGCTCTCATCACATCTTTTCCTCCATCATCAACGTTTCCACTGTTTTTATCCTCATCTCTCACCATAGCCACTACTCCTACAATAAATAAAAAGTAAAGTTGCCATAGTCTTACCAGACCATAGGGCTGTTCTCCCATTACAGAAAGACAACTGGTGGTGGTTTAACCTCAAGGTCACCTTGCCTTGGAGAAGGAGAATCTTTCGCAGTAACCTCACTACTACATGCTGTTGGCATCAAACTCCATCACAAATCAGCTATCCAGCCAACTGAGCTAAGCCAACTCCCACAACTAATTACTGGTATCTGCCCGAACCATTTCCCTTTTGAAACAACTTCTTAACATTTATATTATCTCTGTCTCACTGAAAATTTCCCCTATGAGAAAACACAACATCTTTATGCACTTCTCTCTCACTGGTGGAGGGAGGGAGGAAGAAAACGGGAAACTAAAGGTCAGTTAAAAAGAGGCAGTCAAAAAGAGTCAACTTGGCTTTGTGAAGGGGAAATTATTTTTAACTCCTTTATTGCATTTCTTTTAAGAAATAATGAATGCTGAGGATTAATAAGAGCCTGTAGAAGTGCCGTACTTGCATTCCCAGAAGATATTATGTTGTCATAGAAAAAGTTATTGCACAAAATAGGAGCTCATTGTATAGGGAGTAACATGTTAGCATGAGGAGAAAATTGTTTTCTGCTAGCTGAACAGGTGATTCATAAATCATCATGGTCCTCAGCCTTTTACAATTTATATAAATGAGGGGAGCAAAGGCAGAGTAGTTATATTTGCAGATGACACAAGGATAGACAAGAAGGAACGTAGTGATGATGACAGATACTGATGTGTTGAATGAATGGGCAAAAGTCTGGCAGCTGGAGTATAATGTGAACATTAGAAATAGGACCAGGAGCAGGCCTTTCAGCCCCTTGAACCTGCCCTGCTATTAAACAAGATCATAGTTGATCTGTCCCAGGCCTCAACTTCTTTTATGTGTCAGTTCATCATTGTCCTCAACTTGCCAAAATTTTAAATGTGATCAATGATCTAGCATCTACAGTTTTGTGGGGGTAGAGAATTCCAGACATTTACTACTCTCAGGAAGAAGGAATTAGTTGAATCTCAGTTTTAAATCAGTGTCTGTTTACTCTGTAACTATTGTTTAGTTGGCTGATCCACCACTATTCATGATTAGATCTCCATAACGATACAAGGAAGAATGACCACTGCACAGTCCTTGTGGAGACAAAGGCCCAACTTCACAGTGAATGTGCCGTCTATTGTGTTGTGTGGGATTATCACTGTATTAACTGAGAAAGACCTTGAAGAGATCCAGCAACTCAAGACTGGGCATCTGAGGCGCTGTGGGCCATCAACAGCAGCGGAATTGTACTCCGGCAATCTGCAGTCTCCTGGCCCAGCATATCCCCCATTCAAGCATTACCATCAAGCCAGGGGATCAACCCCATTTGAATGAAGTGTGCGGGAGGGCGTGCCAGGAGCAGCACTGGGCAGTGTAAGCAGTAAGTAATGAGATTCCCCTATGAATCCAGATCCCTAGAATATTAACTGGGTTTCTTGATTACTAGTTCAGCCACAATACCACAAGGCATCTCCTAATTTGAGATTCTCCTTCTAATGGAAACATCTTCTCAACCTCTTCCCTGTCAAGTTCCTTCAGAATCTTGATGGTTTCTAATAAATTTGAATGAAGGCATTTATTACCCTTATCCAAGAGGGAAGTTAAAAGTCAACCACATTATTTGGAGTCTGGAGTCATATGTAGGCCAGACCAGGTAAGGATGACAGTTTCCTTCCCTGAAGAACATTAGTGAACCAGATACGTCTTTCCAACAATGGATAAAGGTTTCACAGTCATCATTAGACTCTAAATTCCAGAGTTTTATTGAATTCAAATTCCACCATTGTGGGATTCAGATCCGGGACACCAGAACACTCCTCGAGTCTCTGGATTAACAGTCCTGCAATAATACTATTAGGCCATTGCCTCCCCATTCCAGAAATCAGCCTAGTAAACATCTTTTGAACTGCCTCCAATACTGGTATTTCCTTTCTTAAATACAGGGACTGAAACTGTGAATGCTATTCCAGGTGTGGCCTTGCCAGCACCCAGAATAACAAGCCTTCCCTACACTTTAAACCCCTACACTTCCAATGCACCAAACTGCATACTAATGTTTTGTGTTTCACACCCAATTCCCTCTGTAGTACACTTTTGGACTCTCTCCAGTTAAACAATACTCTGTCTTTTGATTCTTCTTACCAAAGTGTATGTCCTCACATTTTCCTACATGAAACTTAATCTGCCAAGCGTTTGCCCTCTCACTTTATCTATCTATATCCCTTTTGTAGATTTTTTTATGTCCTCATTAAATATACTCTCCAACCTATTTTTGTATTGTCAGCAAATTTGGATACATTTCATTCTGCCCTCTCCTTTGGATCAATACTGAATAACTGGGACCCTAGGACTGCTCTTTCTGACACTCCACCAGTTGTCTTTCCATCCTGAAAATACCTTATTAATCCCAACTCTGTTTTCTGTGTTAACCAATCCTTAATCTACACTAATAACTTACCTCCAATATTGTGAGCAATATCTTGTGCAATAACATTTTATGTGGCACCTTACCAAATATCTTCTGGAAATCCAAGTGTACTATATCTACCGGTTCCTTTTATCAACTCCACTTCTTAAATCCTAAAGAACTTTAGCAAATTTGTCAAATATGATTTCCCATTCTCCAAACCATCTAGACTCTGTTTGATTGTGTTAAGAATTTCTAAATGACCTACTACTTCTTCCTTAATAATGGACTCATTTTCCCAATGACAGATGTTAGACAAACTGGCCTTCAATTTCCAGCTTTTTGTTTCCCTCCCTTCTTGAATGGTGGCATCCTATTAGCAGTTTTTTAAACCACTGGACCCTTCTGGATTCCAGTGAATTCTGGAATAGTTCAAGCAATGCCTCCATTATTTCTACAGCCATTCCTTTAAAATCCTTGTATGTAGTCCTTCGGGTCCTGGTGACTTGTCTGTGGTCCCATTAGTTTGTCCAATACTTGGTCCCTCTAGATACAGACTGACACAAGATTTTTCCTTCCATTACCACCTTGCTTATCTGTTATCATGTCCTCCACAGTGAAGACCGATGCAAAAATATTAGTTTAAATTATCTGTCATTCCCCATTATTAATTCCCCAGTTAGGCCTCCAAGGACCACACAGTTCCTTGAGCTACTGTCTTTCTTTACATATACTCATAAAAGCAAACAGAAAGAGCTTCTATTTCCTGCAAATCAACATTCACAATCAATTTTCTCCTTATTTATTAGCTTTTTAGCCATCGACTGCTGGCTGCTACAGAATTCCTATTTCTTTGGCCTACCACTAGTTCTTTTGCCCCTATGTATGCCTTCATTTTTGATTGAATACTCACTTATTTTAACTGTGGGTGGTTCCTCCTTCCCATGGAGACCATTTTGAATGGATTATGTTTTTACTGATGAAATATCTGCTTCAGTATCTGCCATTGCTCATCCACTGACTTCCTCTCAGGTGTATTTTTCCAAGTAGCTTTCAACAACTCTTTAATTAATTACCTTGTAATTGCCCTTATTTACATTGAGGAAATAGATTTGAGACCCAAGTTGCTGTCCCTCAAACTGAGTTTTAAATTCTACCATGCTGGGTCGCTACCATTGAGTATCCTTAACTAGGAGCTCTCATATTAATCCTACCTATTACATGATACTAGATCTAAAATAGTTTGTTCATAGGTAAGTTGTGCATCCTACTGCTCTAAGAAAAAAATCCCTGATACATTCTACAAATTCATTTTCCATGTTACCCTTGCCCTTGAAGTGCATATTGGTAGGAGGAATAAAAAAAAAGTTAAATAGAGAACAACTGCAGAAAATCAGCAATGCAGGATTATCAAGGTGTTCTAGTGCATGAGTCACAAAAACCTAGTTCGCAAGTACGGCAAGTAATTAAGAAGGCTAATGGAAGGTGAACCTTTATTACAAGAAGAATTGAAGATAAAAGGATGTTGTGCTTCCATTATATAGGGCATTGAGGGGATTATATTCTCAAATACTATGTTCAGTTTTGATCTCCTTATTTAAGGAAGGATTGCATTTGAGACTATTCATAGGAAATTTACTAGACTGTTGCCTGGAATGAATGGGTTGTTTAATGAGGAAAGGTAGGATCAATTTAGCTGGTTTGCAAATGAATTCATAAGTATGAGGGGTGACTTGATTTAAGTATATAAAATCTTATAAGATAGTCATAGAAAGAATGTTTCCCCTTGTGAGCAAGTCGAGAATTAGGGATCACTGCGTAAAAATTAGGGATACCCTTTTAGGGCTGAGATGAGGAGAATATTTTTCTCCTGGAAGGTTGAGAGGTTTTGGAACTCTTTGCTGCAGAAGATTGTGGAGGAGGGTCATTGAATATTTTTACAGTGGAGTCGGATAGATTCTTGTTAGAAATGGGAATCAAATGTTATCTATGGTAGATGCAAATGTGGAATTCAAAAAAACAAACTGATCTGCCATGATTTTATTGAACAATGGAGCAGGCTCAAGAGGCTGAATGGCCTGCTTCTGCACCAAACTTGCATGTTCATTCTTTCCTCACTCATTACCCTGCCATGCGTTCCCCCCTCATTTCCACTTATCTAAAGAATGGACAATGAGGTCAGAGGCCCCTCATGCTCAACCCTTTAAACCCCACTCCTCTCTCCTTTTCAGTTCTCTCAAGTGATTTTATTCACTTCCAAACATATACATGAGGTGTTTTTTTTTTTTAAAAAGAACAGGGAAAAGTTTCCCGTTTGTGGACAATGTGCCTGACTGATTTATCATTACAAATCATAATGTATGAAGTAGTTGCTTCAGGTATATATAGTATATTAGAAAAAAAAATGGTAATTGCTAGTTCGTTTAATTTATCTTTTAAATTACATACTTACAGTTTCTAAAAATAGACAAGGATCTCTCAAGGCGTTGATCATGGGTGGTATTCGGAAGCAAAGTCAAGGATGGATTGCTTTGGTCAGGGAGGCTAGGATAGCCTTTTTGGCTGGAGTTGTGGTCGGAACAGTTTCAGAACACTTGGGTGGTCCTTCAGAAATACAATTCAACATTTTAGTAACACTTTACAGGGCACTGAAGCATGCATGACATTTCAAAAATATTGTGTTGGATTAAAACACAGCACCAGTGAAGGAACAAAGCTAAATGTTCCAGGCTACAGAGAAGATGGGCCTCTGGGGTGGGGGGAGGTGGTGGGAATCTATTGGATATTTTTATAAAACATAAGGAATTTTATAAGTAAGCCCAAAATGTACTTGTCTATTATTTAAGCATTTATGTATTACTTTTCCTTCCATCCTGTAAGGGTAAAATTTACAAAAACAATTCTAGCACAGTACTTTGCCCACCAGGAGGATACATCAGGAATTTAAGTGTGTACAATTCAATACCTATTAAAATGATCAGAAATTCACCGAATGTGAATGGTAAAATTCTTTATATATTCTGTCCCAGGGTGATACTTCAAATTCATAATGCAAGTTTGTAAAATTGCCTTAGTTCCTCAGATGCTGAGACTGCGACATGAAAGCATTTTAGTGATTTTTTTTTGGTTCCCAATCTCCACATTGATTACTGTTTATTGGTGGCTATTTGCTGCCTCTTTTACTTACTCTTCTATTTCCTTCTGCTTGCTCACTGTTGCTTTCTTAAGTAGTGAGTAATATTTAAGATTTTACACATTATAGTAGGTGATTGCTTTTTCTTAACATGGATAGAACTTTTTAATATGTAAAGCATTCTTGAAGCCACCTTTGCTCCTTGTTTCCCATAAACTGGCTGTACTACTAGTTTTCTATGAGCAACCTTCCACTAATGTCAACAGTGCTGCTAATAGCAAACTTCTTGTGACAATATCCCATTTATATTTCAAAGCCTCCTTTAATGGGAATATTTTTGCAATGTTACCAGCTTCCAAAAGGTGCTGAATTCACTCTGTTATTGTTGATAATGCACCAGTATAAATAACTCCATGTGCATCATTGTACGTACTTAGAGACCGTTTTTAAATATGCAAACAATATTGATGCAGGTAAATTTTGGGAAAGTTTCTATATTAGGCAGCAAAGGTATTAACTGTGAGCAAGGCAGCTAGAATGACATGGTTATTTGACAATAAGATAAACCAAAGACAGTTTTGTACTTCTTGATAGTGCTTTTACAAGATTGGGGGTGTGTTAGTGGTTGGTTAACTCAATTGGCTGGACAGCTGGTTTTGACAAAGAGTGGTGCCCACCAAGTAGGTTCAATTCCTGTACTGGCTGAGTTGACCATGAAGGACTGTCCTTCTCAAACTCACATGAGACATGGTGACAGTCAGATTAAGCCCACCACCAGTCTAATGAGGGAGCTGATCTATGGTGACTTTACCTTTAGTGCTTTTACATTTACAGGTCGGCACCACAACATCTCTCAGGATAATACTGATAACTAATATGATGGGTAGATTAATAATTGCAATGGTGAGAGCAGAATTGGCTCTGGTACATCAGCAACAACTTTTGGTACAATATTTTAAGCTTTCATAAATCCCCAAGGAGAAAACATACAATGAGCTGAACAGTTTTTTTCTGTCACTTCAATGAATCATTACTTTATTGATTTTATACTTTGGAAATGTACTGCTTTCACATATGCAGGACAGGTTAGCTTAGACCTAAATCTTTAAATGGTTTAATCTGTATTTTCAAAATATTTCACTTGGTAATGATTTATTTATAACAATCATCAGCTATCACACCACTCATTCTACTTGTATATCTGAATCCATTTGAGGTGCCTGTCAGGTGAATGTACTGCTATTTATTGTTCTCAATTTTTTCGCATTGGATTCCTAAACCAGTGGATCATGTAAGCCATTTCTGCCACTGAAGATGTTTTCCCATAATGTATTGTGCAAGTCATTTTAAACCCATGTTATTCAAATAAAAAACTGTTTTCAGCAATAATTAACACAATAAATGCTGGCCAGCATCCCATGAGTAAATAAACAAAAGCAGGTACTCTAGCATAATGGAAAATTAAATACTACATTTGGCCTTAAATTTTCTGGCTTGGATTTTTTGCTTCTTTCCTTGCCAGTCCATAAGTTTCCATCCATTAAAGTGAATGGACAGAAAAGAAATCAGAGGCTGGCAAGTACAGAGCAAAATATCATGACCATTTTCTGCTAATGGGTCTTAAATCATTTAGTACAGTCAATGATGTGGGCAGTTTCAGAGTGAACTTCGTGCTGCTGTAACACTTAAGTTTTCAGCCCATTACCATCCAGCATTTAGGCAGTGTAGTGGTTCAAGCTGTGAGCTGTAGTTACATAGCTTAAAGTTCTTCATTGTGCCCACGTGCTTTGTATGTTGCTCATTTGTTTCTGACTACAGAGAAATTTCTGCTAATTGATGAGAACTGATATTTGGGAAGCAGGCACATGAGCAAGGATACAAGATGCACCATAACAAATTGATTGACAGTTAGATTGTCCAATTTTTCTTTCCACTGACTTCAGAACTGTCTTCAGTGGAAAGTGGGTGTACAATGAAAGGACAGTTCTCTACCATGCAATTTGTGTGCCACCAAAATTGAATTTCATCCCACGGTGTCACTCAACAGATTTAGTTTAGAGAGCAAAATAGAGTTTCTGCTACACCACCCCAACCACAGAAATACTTAGTCAGAGGAATGGCTTTTGCAATCCAAGATCTTCCATCTAGTGCACTTCTTGTCCACACCTCCCAACAGTGATATTGGCACTTAGTGCCCAAATTAGTGCCATTTCTACACTGCAGGCTCAGCCACACAGAACTTTATTTAGATTGCCCAAATAATACCTATACAATCATGAGACAAGGAAGATTTTTAAGTTATCATTCTGGATTGGATTTCAACCCATACCAAAACAGAAGATCAGGACTAATCAACACTGCTACCTAGTTTCTCCAAATAGCATTTATAGCTGTGCAAAAATTGCAGCAAAATATTTTTAATTAAGTGATAGGCATTATACCATTACTTTCATTCCTCCTTGCCCTCCTTTTATGAAGGTAGGCACTCATTCCTCAGATACCATTTTAGCTACAATCAAGTACTTTGCTCAATGGGCTATTTTTCTGCCAGCCATTCAGCTGTGGCAAGCGCATCACTGACAAAGCCAATCCTGCCCTCACCTGTGCAGTTCCATTTACTTAAAGTTTTTGAGAAGATTTGTAGTTCGGGTTGTGGATGAGGTTGTAGACATGCTCACCGAGCCAGTGGGTTTGGTTGCAAATGTTTTGTCACCCTGTTAGGTAACATTGTCACTGTGTCTCCGGTGAAGTGTCGGTGTTCCGTCCCGCTTGTTATTTATATGCCTTGGTTTGCTGGGGTGGTTAGCATTCCTTCTGGTTTTGTTTCTCAGTGGTTTGTACACAGGGTCTAATTCAATGTGATACCCGAAAAGCACAATCCACCATTACCTCCAAGACAGACCTCAACAGGAAGACACAACATGACCAGAATCACTTATCCCACTACTGTACATCAAGGACATTTTAGAGATGGCCATAAGACTACTTAGACGCCTAGATATCAGAGCAGCCCACAAACCGACAACCACCCTATGACAACTGCTGATGAATGCAAAGGATCCCATTCCCAAAACCAGCAAAACTGGGTAATATACAAAATGCCATGAAGGACTGTGGGAAACACTACATAGGCCAAACTGGAAGAAAACTGACAATATGGATACAAGAACACCAACTAGCCACCAAAAGACATGACCAATTCTCACTTGTCTCACTATACAATGAGGGACACCAATTTGACTGAGACAACACATCCATAATCACACAAGCTAAACAGAGACACATCAGAGAATTCCTGGAGGCCTGGTATTCCAACTGGAACCCCTTCAACAAACACGTTTGAATTAGACCCGGTGTACAAACCACTGAGAAACAGAACCAGAAGTAATACCAATCACCGTAGCAAACCGAGGCATATAAATAAAAAGCGGGACAAAACACCAACGCTTCACTGGAGTGCACTGACTATGTTACCTAGCAGGGTGACAAAACGTTTGCAACCAAACTGATCAGCTCAGTGAGCATGTCTACAAACTCAGTTCCATTTGCTGTTGAGATAGGAACTCAAGGTATCACCCATGACAGAGAAGTTAACTCTCAAATCCCAAAAATACAATACCTTGCACTTAGATAGAACATATAACATCCCAAAGGAATGTTATCAAACAGAATTTAAGACCAATCCACATAAGGAGATAATTAGAAAAAAAAACTAGTTGCTGGAAAAACTTAGCGGGCCTGGCAGCATTTGTGGCAAGAAATCAGAGTTTCCAGTCCAGTGACCCTTCTTCAGAACCTGAAGAACAGTTCTGAAGGAGGGTCACTGGGCCTGAAACCTGAAAAATATGTCCAGTTACTAGTATCCCACCATTGGTGGCCAAGCCTTCAGTTGTTTAGGGCTTAAGCTCTGGAACTCCACCCATATACATCTGTCTCTCTATTTCATTTCCACATTTAAGTCATTCCTTGAGGCCACTCTTTGACCAAGTTTTTGGACATCTGCTTTAACATCTCCTTACGTGTTGCAGTGTCAGACTTCATCTTGGAATGCTCCTGTAAATACTCTTGGGACATTTTATTATATTAAAAGTGCTATATAAATTGTTATTGTTGTGATTTTCATTTAGAAAAGCTAGCCTTGTTACATATTTAATAGAACTATGTCCATCTCCAAAATCTAGGCTTTTGCTGCTTGTAATATTGGTTTTAAAGCTAGTTTTTAAGCCACCAAAGTTCTTTTAAAAAAATATTTGTGTTCACTTCTAAAATAGACAATGGAAGCATGTTAAAATTACTACTAAAAAACATCTATGATCTTAGGAAGCAGGTAACAAATAATAAGTCAGAAGGCAAAAGTGAGGGGAAAATAATATTCACTTTTGTGAACGTTTTACATTTTAAATGTGTCATCATCATCCGTCCCTTGCAGACAAGGATGACTGTCATCCATTCTCAGGGTGAGTCGGTAAGT